ATAAAATAAAAAATTTATATCTTTATGTTTGAAGCCTGAAATGTGGCAAAAGGTTGAAAAGTTCAAGGGGGCCGAATACTTTCGCAAGGCACTGTAACTCTGGTCTTCCGTGTCTGTGAGCGGGTCCTGTACCTGGCTTTCCTCAGGTAGATCACTCCGATATCAGTGATAAGATGCTGAGCTTTTTTCCTCTTCCTTTCTAACTGCTGGATATCACTCTGGTCATCCGTGCCTGTGAGCGGGTCCTGTGCCTGGCTTTCCTCGGGTTGTCCACTCCGATATCGGCATTAGTTTGGTGAGCTTTCTGCCGTTCCTCAATTCCTTTTGCTGGATATCACTCCGGGCATCTGTGTCTGTGAGCGGACTGCAGTCTTGCTTTCCTCAGGTTGTCCTCTCCGATATCAGCATTGGAATGTGAACATGCCTATTGCCAGTTTGAGGTATTTTTCCCAGGGTTTTTTGTTTTATATTCTTGTTTTTTGCCTTTTGTTTTTTGGTTCATATCTGTTTTTTGTGGTTTGTCTCCATGGTCTTTCCCAGGTTTATGTCTGTTGTGTTTGTGCTTGTATACTTTTTTGATTTAGGTCTCCAGAGCTCTACTCGACCCCCCCTTCCTCCACCCAATAAAGGTTTATACCCTGGAGGAGGGGGTAGCTCTCAGCCGTGGACTCCTGGAGGTTTCCTTTCAGTTAAATTGGGTTTTTCCTCCCCCCAGTGCTGTGCAGCTAGCATCAGATGAAAAGGGGGTATGACAGGTTGCACAGGGTGAAGCCGCCTGGGATCGCGGCGAGGTCGAATTCCTGGTGGAGCTGTCCTGTCCTGTGTGAGAGCAGCCCATAGTCCCTTCTCCATGGCCAACCAGTGTCAGATCCAGACCAGCCTGGCTTAAAGACTTTATGATGCTTTTATTGTGCCCTACTTCAAGCAGTGCTTTTTGCTGTCTGGAAAAACTGTTGATTTTCTGAAGGGGGGATGTTATGGCGCACACAGCGTCCGTTTGGGGTTTACAATGCTGTTGCCACTTTACAGCACTTGGATGCCTTGGTGTTTTTTTTGCCATTCTGTGTCAGTGCCGAGTTATGCAAAATAAAGAGCAGACGTCTGTGAAATCGGTCCACCTCAGTCCCTGGTTTTCCATGGCCCAACACTTTCCTTATACAGCATGATGTGAACCAGTTGCAATTTCTCCACAGTCTCCACCCCTAACTCAGCCCTGGTGCTAATTTAACTGTTTTATCTGATCCCGAGCAGCACACAGTAGTGTTTCTTCAAGAGACTGTATTCACCTGTAACTGAACTGATATTTGATTATTACAAAACTGAGCAGAGCAGCTGGTGAGTGATGTGTGCTTTGATTTAAGATTTTATTTTAGATTTGGAACGAAGATTTTATCCTGGGTTGTTCAGAACGTGCATTATTATGTCCTGTAAGTAAAACGTAGAAATAAATTTGAATTTGTACAAAATTCAAACAAACAGCATAACTCGCAGACTATTCACTTTTCTTGATTAGGTGGCGCTCGCAGTTGTGGTGAGGTTTATATTCGGCTGCAGAAAGTCTTTCTCAGCTCTGCTCCTCAGTTGTTTTGAAGCCGCGGCGGCACTGAGGAATGACGTTATCATGCTGCGCGGCTGTGAAGTTATTTTACCCGTGTTGCGGTGATTGAACCGGTTTCTTCAGATAAATAATAAAGAAGAAAGTAATTCTGTTTAAAAAATAATTGTATTGCCGGTTGATCAGGACTGATCAGGTGAAGAATAAAAAATATAGAAGGAAGGTCTTGTGTTTAAACTCCACAAGTCAGACTTTGTTTCTGACTGTCTGCAAACCCAGCTTAATTGTTTCCTAGAGGTTTTGCTCAATTCGATCGTGCGTGAAGTGTCAGACGTTTTCCGAAACACGATGTGTGATTCTGAGGACGAGTTTCCAGAGAAACTCCGCGGTGTCTCCCAGATCCTGGTGAGACGGGCCGAGTTTAAAATCACACAGTGTGTGGAGGACAGTGTCGGGAGTGAAATGGAGCAGCTGAAGAAGGAAAACGAGAGTTTGAAGTGGAGATTGCAGCTGTGGAAGAAGGAGCCGGGAGCAGGAGATCGGGGACAAACAGATCGTGTTGGACACACGCTTCCCTGTGAAGTGACTGGAGAAATAGAAGAAATGAACACGAAACTGGGGCTATTAGGTAAGTGGGGTGTCCTGTATGGAGTCAGTGTGTGTTTAAAAACAGTGTCTTTAACTTCCTCACTGGTGAGAATATAACGGAGAGATGCAGAGTGAAGTGGGAAAGACTTGTGCGACGTAGCAATAGGATTATTTTACTGGAAACAAAACTGTTGTTGTCTGGTTATGGCGCTTAAAACACATGCAATTACAGAAGGGCTGAAAACACCTTCTTTATATTCACAATGACCGGGTGTTTATTAATTCAATCAGGCGTTTCAAACTCTCGTTACGGTGGTTTAGTTTAGAGATAAACGTACTTCGAACAGGGCATAAATATCAGAAATAATCTAGATATTGCTAACCAATTTTTTTTGTAGAGTTTTCAATATCCCTGTTTAAAAATAGTGTTTGAAACTTCCTCACTGTTGTTGTTCGCTTACGGTGCAAAACACCAACTGTGATACAGCAACAGTTCTGCAAACTCCTCTTCAGACTTAAATTGGCTTAACTGAAATGTTTATTTATTAGCGAAGCATTGCAAATCAGGGGTGTCAAACTCTCTTTTTTGAGGTCCAGGTTATGTAATTGTAAAAATATCAACGAATATAAAATGTATTTGATTTTTTGGGGCATTATTGGTGTTTTATTTTTTTAACGGATCCGATATGCACTCGACACGGAATGACCAGCAAAATGAACTCATTACCCTGTGAACATGTGATATAACTTTTGTGTTTTTAGCCCGTGATTAAATAACAAAAATGTCTAAGCCATTTATGAAGTGAGCAATAATCCTTTTTTTTTGTCAAGAGGAATATTGTCTAGTGAAGAAACTGGAAAAAATGTGAATGACGTGTGATATTTCCACCTGACGCTACAAAAAAGAAAGGAGTTTCTCCTGCGAAACTAAACCTAACAGATTATGACTTTACCGCTGTCCCAGGTGAAACAAGGCCTATTAACAGTCATGAACATGCAGTCGTGTCTCTCACTGTGACAGTCCAGGACTCTGAAGGTGAGATTGAGCTGCTCTCATGATTCTAGTGATTTTAGAGGTCATTAGTATTTTACAATACTAAATCGCTCAGCATCTCTCTCACTCCTCACCAGCCTGTGTACAACACTCCTGCAGCCCTCAGTATCCCTCTCACATCTCACCAGTCTGTATACAAAACTTCTAGAGCCCTCAGCATCTCTCACATCTCACAAGCCTGTATACAACACTCCTACAGCCCTCAGCATCTCTCGCACCTCACTAGCCTGTATATAACACTCCTACAGCCCTGAGCGTCTGTCTTACACCTCACCTGCCTGTATACAGGACTAGTACAGCCCTCGGCATCTCTCTCACACCACACCAGCCTGTATGCAACACTCCTATAGCCCTCGGTATGTCTCTCATACCTAACCAGCCTGTTTACAACACCCCTACAGCCCTCTGCATCTCTCTCACACCTCACTAGCCTCTATACAATACTTCTACAGCCCTCGGCATCCCTCTCACACCTCACCAGCCTGTATACAACACACTTACAGCCCTCCGTATCTCTCTCACACCTCACCATTATGTATACAACACTCCTAAAGCCCTCATCGTCTCTCAGACTTCACTAGCCTGTATACATAACTGCTACAGCCCTCAGTGTCTCAGCGTTTCTTGCGCACCCAGCCAGTCTGTATTCAATACAGTGCTCAGCATCAATCTCACTCCTCACCATCCTGTCTACAACACTCCTACAGCCCTCAGCGTCTTTCTTATACCTCACCAGCCTGAGTACAACAATCCTGCTGGCGTTTCTTACGCACCCCATCAGTCTGTATACAGTACTACAGTGCTCAGCATCTATCTCACTCCTCACCACCCTGTATACAACAATCCTGCAGGCCTCAGCGTTTCTTACGCACCCCATCAGTCTGTATACAATACTACAGTGCTCAGCATCTATCTCACTCCTCACCACCCTGTATACAACATTCCTACAGCCCTCACCATCTCTCTTCCACGTCACTAGCCTGTATACAACACTCCTACAGCTGTTCGCATCTCTCTCCCACCAGTCCTTCATTCTGTGTCATTGTCAGTATATCTGTAATGACTGTGTGCAAGTATCAGTATCAGTTATTATTTAATAAGAAATTGAGTTGCTCCAGTGCGTAATAGGTTAGCGTATTCTTCTGTCTATGTGTGATTTACCTTTGTAGATGTTCTGTTTGTCGTTGTGTTTTGTAATATCTGTAGATGTTTAAACAACTTAAAATAATTGGTATACAATAAATCAGCTTTGATGTATTTGATGTATGATGATGTGTAATAAATGTGTTATTATGCAATTGCATTGTAATTTAATTGAAATTGCTTTTAAATACAATTTGTGTCTTCGATTCAGTATGGCTTTTATTTTTACTTTTGAATGGGAAGTGAATATTTGGATGCATACTTTTAACATTGACTCAGTAGAAACATTTTGTGTCTTCATTTGTTATCATTTCACTTTAAACTTGGCAATCTATGGTTTTTCAATTACCTGAAAGTTAACATTTATTGAAATTTCTCATTTTGTTTATTTATATTCATGTACAGATGCAGCCATTCAAAGTAAGTGGTACAGACACGTACCGGAGGTAATTGGCTGCGGCGTTGCGCATCATGACGCAAGATGATGCGGGGTACCGCGGTAAGTGATTGGTTGACCGACAGGGGCACTCGTGGTCCGTTGGTCTGTCGTAGAAATATTTACAGTACAGTAAACGTCTTTACTGTGCCCGTTGTAGATATTGAATTCTACCACTGAAGGGAAATCTTAGTAGCTGAGCTTAAAAAGAATAGGAGCATACTGTAATGCGTGTGAAGGCCATAAACAATATTAATTTTGGAACATAAACATACAGTACTGTATATGGCTGGTCTTGGTACTTTAAAGTAAAAAATACACACCAGTATTCCATTTCTCCCTAAACATTTTAAGCATCGAAGTCTTTAACTAAAGAGATACCGGAGTCAACAAGCATACTTTTTAGAATTTGATTAATAGGGAATATAATATGGAATCGCGTATCTAAAGAATTTAATAACGATATGATTATATCCGTGTACTGCAACAGGGCTGTGTAGGGCTGCTTCGCCTCCCTCTTCATGCGACTTCCCCTGTAGCCTACTGGTCTACGTGCC